TTTTTTATGAGAGTATAACATTATAACATGATATAAAACTCAAAAAAGTTGATTTTACATGATATTGCCCCTTTAACCAGTGTGCCAATGGAGGGAGTCTACAGAGACAGTCCATTTATCTTTTGAGAGATGTTCTATCAAATAGTTGCCAATAGTACAGTTAATCAGCACTACTTCTGAGTTTTGATTAGAGCTTGGAGKGAGATGATTTTTGACTGATGAATAAACTCAACCCTTGTCTTTTATTCGAGGTTGGGACTGCAGGAATTTATTTTAGCGCAACTGTGTCAGTGGGAAAAAACCATTACAGTAAAAATTATATTGACGTCCCGTTTTGTAAATCAGGGAGGGATCAGCAGCAGCTTTTTGGGCTCAGCGTGAGGGGAAAACGAGGCAGAACAGTGGAGAATGTTGTTTTTCACACAAGGCGGATAAGACGGCTCTGTATGAAGCACGCGTCCAACTCCACAGCAATGATGTCCACCTTATACAGACATCGAGCGAGCCATTTACAAAACATGAGTARCTTTATTACTGTTATTACTCAGGATGACCTGCGTTATAGTCCAATTTCTGCTTTTGGAGCAGTCTCCAGTACGTTTGGCTTTCATGCATGCATTCGAACTGCACCAGCGTTCACTTTAACTGAACCTAGACGTAGGTTKTTTTTTTTTAGGTGGATGAGAGTTTGCTTTTTTGGTCTGCATCAGAGTACGCATTCATACCTCCYCAAACAAACTGGACTTTCTAGGCAAACAAACTAGAGTTTGGTTAAAGCAGACTAAACAGGGCTGGAGTGAATACACMCTACATCTCTCAGCTGGCTAGAATGATATCCACTGTCAACAAAACAAACAAACATACATTAGTTAATATTACAACATTGGTGTTTTTATGTGGATGAATGTATGTGGAAAATAGACCACTTGTTTAGCTAACCAGGATTCCCACACCTTGGTCAACATCATATTCAAGGACCTTTCAAGGACTTTCCAGTACCAATTTCCTCAAATTCAAGAACCATGCGTGACGGCAATTACCTACTGCTACCACAGAATGTTACCAGTAAACAGTTTTAATATCATGTAAATTCAATGAAAAACTGGGAATCAATGAAAGAAAGTGGATTAAATGTATACCCTACATTCATATCCACATGTCCTGGGAAGTTTGACAGCTCAGTTTGGGAGGAGGGGATGTGAACATGTCCAGATGCTCGGTGAGGACAGGAGGAGCTGTGGTGATCTCACCTGGGGTCAGAAAGAACGACCCGCCCTACTCTGCTCTGATTGGGTAAAACCAGTGAGTTCCGATGTTATCAGTCTATTAAATGGACGTTATTAGCGGTTATCAGTCCCATAGAATGGCTTCAGACTGTCCCAATAGTGCCCCCTAGTGGGGTAATATATCAATGACATTGAATGTGTAAATAACAAAAACATTTTAATGAATTTTTTGTCCGGGGTGGGGGGCGCGGTTTTCTCGCTGCCCATGCCTGGTCTCGGTCCTGGCTCTCCCGCTCTGTGGTCCGGCGCTCTGCCCGTTGTCCTACGTTGGGCCTGCAACAATGGTCTACTTTATCGTAGCCCATGTCATTTTCTCTAAAATTAACCTTAGTGGTTTTATGCCTCATACTACCCAGCTGACAGTCTGAAGCCATTCTATAGGACGGAGAACCCACTAAGCAGCACAGTCGGGACAGTCTGAAGCCACTATGGGACTGATAATGACTAATAACATCCATTTAATGGATGATAACATCCGAAGCGGGTGCGTAAAACTATGACAATGGTTCATGTTATTTGTTGAAAGCCACGTCAGTTTACCGTAATCCTGTTATCCACCACAAGAAATGTACGATTTTTAATCAAAAATTTTCACAGATAATAAAAATCAGTTGTGTGAATAGAGAACTTCAAGCCCTAAAAAAGTATTCAAGGACTTTCAAGGACAAGTTTAATTTTTGGCTGTTTTCACAAACTTTCCAGGGCCTTAATCATTTTTTTCAAATTCACAAACTTTCAAGGATTTCAAGGACCCGTGGGAACCCTGGCTAGCCATCAGCCTAGCCTGAACCAAGATTTGTGCCACTTTGCTAATGCGGTACTAACTCTAAAAAGCTGTTAGTCAGAACATCACATYGAAGACTGAAGATCAGTGTAGCGACTGTTAGGGGGTGGGGTGATCAGTACTCACCTCCCTCTCTAGCCTGCTGCAGGAAGTTGAGAAGCACCATGGCGGCCTGATCCACACTGAGTTTCTCTGTGTTCTGACTGCGAGTCTCTGGCAGAAACAGAATGAGTCAGTACTGCTTCCAGTTCTGTGTCCTAACAGGAACTGTTCAAAAACTGCTGCTCCTGCTTGGACGAAACAAACTTTAGTACCTAAGTGTAAGGTGTCATAGACATCTCCTTCTTTTCTGTCCTCAGAGATGAACCGTCGACCCTCTGAGAAAGAATAGAATAGAATAGAATARAATAGAATAGAATAGAATGCTTTGTTAGTCTGACACCAAAGGTTACAAATATTTGTCTTGGACAGGGCTCCATACACACACATATAAAAATATTTCAAAGAATTATTTACTCAAGATAAAAATCATAAACAAATTTTAGAAATACCTCTATTGTTGAGGGCTGAAACTGCGGTTGGAATAAACGACTTTTTGATGATGTCTTCCTACTATGTTRAGATGTCTTAGATTATTCTGYCTTTTTTCACCTATTTAGATCCATACTGCCTATTTGTGTTATCTCCTTTTAAGATTCTGAAAGGTGAAACTCAAAACCTGCTCGTTTTATGTGAATGGCTCCGTGTGCTCGACCCAGTGGTTTAGAGTCAAACAGAAGGTACTGATCTGTGTTGGGTTTTTACAAAGCTTCTACTTCCTCAGCTTGGATTTGAACCAAACTGTAATCCACAAGCAGTGGCTCTGTGTTGCTCTCTTCCACTTCCTCTATGGTACTTTGTATGAGCGATGGAGGGGATTGCAAGGGTCCCTCTGTGATTAGGATGGCTTTCCCAATCTCATACAGATGGGACAATGGAGTTTGTATCAAACCAATTATTTTACTAGCTTGATTTCTTATACGTGACAGTTTTGTTTTCGGTGTACCAGTGAGAAAGTTATACCAAGCCATGATATTGAAAGTGGGAATAGATTTTACAAGTGACCAGTAAATCATGATTAAAATCTTCTTTACTGACATTAAARTTTGAGAAGATGTAGTTGCTGGAGGGCYTTTTTGCAGATCMTAAAGGAGTGARTTTGGAAGGAAAAACAGGTRTCCATCTGTGTCCCTAAGTATTTAAAGCACTTTACTTGTTCAACCGTCTTTCTCTGGATAATCAGAGGCTTATAAAGCTGTGAAGCGGTTGCYGCTCTAGTTTTGCCCACACAGCACAACTCCTCTGTCTTTGTAATATTAAGTTCAAGTGATTTCTCACCAAGTGTTGTGACCAGGTCATCCACACCCTGTTGATACTAGGTGAGTGTATCCATACCATCATACATGTGGGCTGCCAGGGCCATGTCATCAGCATATTTAAAAAGACTCACCCCTTCCCTGCTACAAGGCATTATTGGTGTAGACAGAGAACAAGGTGGGGATAAAACACAACCGTGTGGGAGCCCTGTATTTAAAACCAAATTGCTGTACTTCAAACAACTTAAAAACACCTGCTGTGGTCTGTCTGTTAAAAAATCTTTATCCATAAAATCAGGGTTGAATGGATCTGTTGGTTCTGAAGGCAGTGTAGCAGAATATCAATAGTTACAGTCTTAAAAACAGAGAAGTCTCTAAATAAAATCCAGATGTGCGGTTGTGTTGAGTCCATGTTCGTTACAACAGTGTTTAAAAGGGTTAAACTTGCATCCTCCACTCCTGGTTTTGCCCTGTAAGCAAACTGGAGAGGGTCCAGTTTTCCAGATGTGTGACATGAGGTTATACAGGACTCTCTCCATACATTTGTATAAAAGAGATCTTTCCAGAAACTGGGAACACAACCAAAATTCAAAAGGTGTTGAAACACTAGTGATGACTTCACCCAGTTGTACGGCACTGCCTTAAAATACCCTGCCCCTGAGTTCATCAGGGCCAGAAGCTTTGTGTRGGATTACTCTCTTTACGATGGAGATCACCGACTGTTTATCAATGTTCAGAGATGAGAAATTGATCTGATTGTTAAAAYTAAACCTGAAACTAGAGGTATTTGGTTGATTATTTTGGTTAAACCYACTACAGAACGTGTTAAAATCTTTTATAAATGAGGCGGGGTTGACGTGGCTTGTTACAGCAKGTTTGGTGGCACGGTCCATCATTATATTTAATCCCTGCCATGCCTCCTTCACATTCCTGGATATTTAGATTTTCCGGTACCACTTTACAATAAGGCTTCCCTTATAAAGGCTTATAAATGTTTTATAAATAAGTTATTAATTTATCTGTAAGCACTTTATAAATTATAAAGAAGTGTTTATTATGCTTTAATCAAGGAAGAGAAAGAGACAAAACTGTCCAGATTATTGCCAAATAGTGAGCCAGATCTGTTCATATTACATCTAAAGCTGCTACATTAAACATTTCGGACTAGTTTTACCTTGTAAGCACAATAATGTATTGTAAACACATATTTTACATATAATATTGTACTGTATTACTGCATTATTATTCCAATACATTATTGTGCTTACAAGGTAGAAACCTAGTCTGAAATGTTTAATATATGTAGCACCTTTAGATGTAATAAGAACATGAATAGATTTGGCTCACTATTTGGCAAGAAACCAGACAGTTTTGTTTCGTTGCCATCCTTAATTAATGCATAATAAACACTTCTTAAAGATTCATAAAGTGTTTACAGATGAATTAATAACTATTTAAAAGCCATCTATAAGGGGAGTCTTATTGTAAAGTGGTACCGATTTTCCTTCTACCTCTGGACTTCTAGCACTGTCCTTTCACAATAAAATGCTCTGCTAAAATCTGGTTGCAAGTCGTAGGCTGTAACTCTCTTCTAAACTGAAGATGATTAAATAATAATGAAAAATAAATAAATAATAATAATAATAATAATAATAATGTGGTTGATTTGATGTCTGAAGGTTTAAAAACAGGACATAATCAATCTGAGGTCCAATACATACGTGTTCCCTTCAGATACAACATGGCCTGTGGGGTCCAGTTTCTTCTCTGGAATGAGCCCTGGACAGAAAACCAAAATATCCAGTCAGTTTTAGTGATTGATTGATTAAGAACATGGCTCTGTGATGACTGGATAGCTGTGAAAAAAGGAAAGACCTTAGGCGCGCTCCATGACTGGGAGATAAAAGATGCCAGCAGAAGGAGTGTGAGCGTGTGGGTTAACGTCATGCTTCGGAAACCCTGTGAGACATGATCAGTTCACACTTTTCAGTCACCAGAGAAAACAAACGTGAGGAAAAGAAATCAAAGCTCTTTGAAAAAGACAGAAAATAGGACAGAGACTAAACTGGTCCAAACTGTATCTTAATCTTGTGTTTTAAAGATGAAGTCAGACGTAAAAACTGGTGATTAATGATGGCTTGGTGTGCAATTTTACAGGAGGGAAAAAATGATACAGCGAAAAGAAAAGCAGCTGAAAAAAATGGCTTATGAACAGATTCAATTGTGTGATTTAATCTGAAAAACTTCAGCTGAGATCAGATTTGAGATTAATAATCTAACATGTTACATATGTATGGTTTTCCTAAACAATTTGTTTTTCACGAGACATGAGAAGTGCTGTGTGAGCTGCAAAACCTTAGCTGAAAGTTGAACCTGTAATTTCCCTTTGGGATCAATAAAATATTTTGAATTTGAATTTGGAGTGAAATATAACAAGACATTACCTATAAGTATAAATTAGTCAAAATTTGATGAGTTCAATATAAGTTGAACAAAGACAGAGACATCCAACGAAGGAAGGCGTCAAAAAGAGCACATAGGAAACAGAATTCAGTTATAGACCCGTAAGATGATACATAAAGGTATTAGGAGAAAAATAAATGCATAAAAATACTAAATGARTTGCATGAAAAGATAAAAAGAACACATTAAAAGACAAAAGGAAGATAAAAAATAAAGAACAAAAGGAGACAAAAACGATCAAGTATGCTGGACAGCGCATAGATTTAAAAAGATTGCAYGAGATCTGAATCTATTGGTACGGAGATGTTTTCAAATAAATTTAGAAAATTCTGGGAAATATTAAAGCAACAAATAACATGAGTCAGAGCATCCTGCATTAATGTGGGTTAGGAAACGAGCTGTTTTTTTTTTGATCAATAGATGGTTAAAATAGTTGCATAAAAGTCTGTATAAACAGGAAATCGACAGTATAAATGTGGATTCAGCATTCAGACAATAATAAAATCTTTGTTAACTTAACTTACATTCATGATGCCAGAGGTCCGGTCAAATCCGATAGTTACACAGTCAGCAGATGGGGCTAATTGCTGGATCTACTTCTTCCCCCCTGTATTTATACCTCCAGTGTGAGGGGATGGGGGCCCCTTGGTGCTCCTGAACAATGCAGGCAGCGATAGGTCACGCCAATTTGATGAAATGAGTCGGAGCGAGTGAATGGAAATGCAGATCAATGTCTTGTTTAGTGTAAATGTCCTTTCAACTCCTGGACAGTTTCAGGATCAGTCATGCTCTGGATTCACTCTGTTACCTGGCTCTGAGAGCAATGAGCTGCCTCAGGTATTGATGTTTGCACGTTGTTCACTGGAGCAAATAAGTGATAAAAAGAAAGGTGAGTCATTAATGCTCATTGCTTCTTTCTCAGGACACAACAGAATGAGGCAATCTTACAACACTAAACCCCAGTCAAGATGGCCCCTATAGCTAGGCCTCCATCCATTCATTACCTATACYTATACCTATTTTTACTTTCTTCCTTTTTATTTCTTACCGTGTTCTGTCTGGCCAAGATGGGGGACAATAAGTATGCCCACTCCTGCTCTGCGCCTCTCAGCAAGGCCAACTCTAGAGTGTCCAACCCTCTCGATGAGACTGGTACCAGAGCCATTGCGGTGCGTCGAGGTGAGTCCAACAATATCTAGYCAGAACCTCTCAACTTCACACACCAGCTCAGGCTCCTTCCCCACCAGAGAGGTGACATTCCATGTCCCTAGAGCCAGCTTCTGTAGCTGAGGATCAGACATCCAGGGTCCTCGCCTTCGACCACTGCCCAGCACACATTGCACCCGACCCCTACGGCTCCTCCCACATGTGGTGAACCCATGGGAAGGGGGACCCACATCTCCTCTTCGGGCAGTGCCCAGCCAGGCTCCATGGGCGAAAGCCAGGCCACCAGGCGCTCGCCAGCGTGTCCCACCTCCAGGCCTGGTGACCCACGTCCGGGTGTGGGAACACTCAGTCCAATGTTGTTGTTCATCATAAGGGGTCATTGGGCTGCACTTTGTGTGATCCCTCACCTATGACYTGTTTGCATTGGGTGACCCTASYGGGGACAACATAGCTCCTAGGATCATTGGGACACTCAAACCTCTCCACCCTAATTAGGTGGCAGCCCAGGGAGATGASGTTTATTCTTGTCAATGCCATATTGTATTATTAATCTGTTTAATGCAATAAAGCCTACACCTCAATATGTTCCAGGTGTTCGATTCCTTTACACCTCCTATCCACATTCTCGTTTTTCTGTCATTACCCAAAGTTTGTGGCCATAGTTGATGACTGACCAGTAAACAGAACTTTGCCTTACAGCTCAGCTCCCTCTTCACTACAACAGACCAGTACAGAGTTCTGGTCYGTCGTAGTGAACYGTCTCCATCCTTCCCTCACACCMCGCACCACAGCCATCCTTGTCCACAGTTTTRTGACTTTATGGATTCTCTACYGTTACTCTCTTCTTTTTGGCCTCCYCAACAAATCCCTCCATAAGYWTCAGATGGTACAGAACTCGGCTGCACATGTCATCACCCAAACCTCCTCCCATAACCACATCACCCCAGTCCTGCAGCAGCKCAACTGGCTCCCGGTCAAATCACACRTCKTCTTCAAAATTCTTCTTCTCACGTTTAAAGCTATCCACCATCTTGGCCCTCCTTACATGTYCGATCTTCTACACATCYCCATTCCCTCCKGCTCAGATCCTCTTCTCCCCTAAACCAARTACCCACTGMCCGCCTCTCCACCATGGGGAGCAGGGCCTTCACCTGTTCTGCACCTGTCCTCTGGAACTCTCTACCACCTGACCTAAAAACACCACCTCTCTTCCTTTGTTCAAGTCTGCTTTAAAAACACATCTCTTTAGATTAGCGTATCATTTTAATTTTGTTTGTATACAATTCTCTGTAACTTATGTCTGCTTGTCTCTAACTGTATTTTCACACATTCCATTGCATGTGTCTATTGCTGTAAGTGTCCTTGGGTGTCCTGAAAGGCGCTTTTTAAATAAGATGATGATGATGATGATGATGATAATGATGATGATGATTGTGGTGGAACTAATACTTTTATATTTAAGCCAGTAATTCATGACATCCTTTAATGACCTAGATTTTCATGACATGCTGTTCATCTGCAGATAGAATGATTAAAGTCTGAACAAGATTTGCTAACAACAATCAGTCTTAGATATCACTTGTGTTTATCTTTGTGTTTTCCCTTGACCTTGTATCAAATCTTGCTAAGATGACATAATGGTGTTTGTTAATATATACATGAGGCCTCTCGAGTGAGTGACACAGTGGAGAGRCAGACAGAGAGAGGCAGAGGCACAGAGACAGGGCAGGTTGTTCTCTGTGTTTCCTGTTGTTGCAATAAAACTCAGCTGATCATCTCACTGAGTACCTTCATTCTTGGACCACGTATTTCTGTCTTTGTTAAATAAATATGGGTAGAAAGGCACTATACAAGTACAATCCATTTACCATTTACCATAAGTATTAGCTGATCAGTGGTCTCCCAACATGAGGGTAACCAGTGCAAGCTGATTTATGGGTGCACCACTAGTGGTTCCATATGATGTGTCTGAGTCAGGAAGGCCTCAGAGTTATAATAGAAACTAAAAAAGTTCTGAAGGAACACTTTTTATAGGTGATATGGATCTGCCAGACTATCATTAATGTGGGTTAATGTGGACAAGATGAACAGATGGTGGGGCATTAACTCAATCAGTGTTGTATAAAGTACCTCAAAGTGATACTTGAGTAAAAGTACAAGTATCTTAT